CCCCCCCCCCCCCCCCAGCTTCTGTTTGAATTGAATGGAACAAATTTGCTAGTAGATAAAATATCCAGTGGGGGAAATAAAATCTCCAAGCACAAGATTTTAATGAGAGTTACTTTTGAAGAAAATACTTAGAGAATGATTTTCTGGAATTCTGTTGTTGTCACTTTCCTACAAACCTTTGTAAACTATATGCTGTGTAAGGGAAATCATAGGCATTCATTTGATAGCAAGTAGCTGCTGCTTTCCTGTATCTGCAGCACTGAAAAAGTTGATGTTGGCAGTGCTGCCTCCCTCTGCTCCTTGCAGATACTTCTTGGCCTTGACAGTGGAGTTCTTCATCCTGGTGCTATGAAGTGTTTTATTGTGAATTGTTTATACACTTTGTCAGTCTGAATACTAACTTTAAGGAAATACCTAGGCTGTATAGTGACAGCTTGTGAAATTTTTCAAAAAACAGTGTTCATTTGGGAAGTATAATGCCTTACATCTCCAACGTGGAGCACTGTGAGGAATGTTCTTTGTGGACTTTGTTACAGCGATGTCTGCAATTTGCTCAATGTGAAGGAATTATGTAAAAGCATAAGATTAACAGTTCTGTGTTGCTTTTATAGATAAAACTTAAGCACGAAGAGAGTATAGGTTAAAGCTAATATATCACAGTGTTGATTTCAAACCATAAAACTGGGTTAACTCTGCTTTTCTCTGTGGGCAAATGAAATTAGTGTTCATTTTTCCATTTGAAAAAAGACTATAACAGAACGTTGTGCTTTGTGTTGATTTTTCCCTGTTGTGTCTGAACGTTAGCTCAAGGTACAGACTTGTGTGGTTACCCAGATCAGCTAGTTTAAACTTAATTTTCTACAGTTTGTCTAGATTAAGTCACTTGTTTCTATTATCACCAGTTTTGTGAAACCATTGTCACCTGCGGGGCTGTGCAAAACAGTGCTTGAGTGATGCACTGAATTTATTGTGTGCTTGTAAACCAGTGCTCCTGTTTCTTCAATTTAAAAATGTGACAATTTTTTGATTAAGCAATATATTTATTTTGTATCAAGGAATTACGTTGATACTACACTGTCATAATTTATTCCAACTTTCGTTTCAGGAAAAGAAACGGTTAACAATTTGTAATATTGCTCGCCAGTGGGAGATACAGCAGAATCGAATAGATCTTGTGGCTTCTTTAAACCAAGATAAAGATAACCAGCCTTGTCCGATCAATGGCAGTGCTGCATATGTATTTCCTGAAGAAAGCAGGTATTACGTTCAGGAATATTTCTTCCCATTCTTGTCTTACATTCTTATTCTCAACTTGGAGATCTCACTGTATTTCGTTATCAAATGTAATATATCCGAATTTATTCTGAAGAGATGTTTTGCTTCACTGTTAAGCAATATTAGCTGTTGATTGTAAGTAATACATGCTTAATAAGTAACATAACAGCAACTAGTTGGCTAAAGAAGCATATTGTAAATTTTTGTGATTTTTGCTAAATGAAGAACTTGATGTTCGAAGAAATGTTAAATTCAAATCCTGGAGTCTGCATTGGGAAATGAAAGGAATTATTTTTAAAATAAAAATATTCAAAAACCCCAAGGTTTTAATAAACAGCATTGGTTTTTTTTGCAGTTGTTATAATGCTCTTAGGTAATTCACATTACATTCTATTGTCTGAATTGGAGATTTATGTTTGGAACTTTTTCAGGAATGGGTAAAGAAATGAAAGTGTGCTAATAATGTTTATCACTAATTTAGATTATTTTAAATCAATGAAGACATGGCTGTGTCCTAGAATAAATAAGCCTTAAATAATACTGCCATCTTTTATCATGTAGCTGCCTGTTGCATTTTTACTCCTGATAGCTTAAAGTTGACAAGAGTCTATTAACGAGTTATATAATAATGAAGTTTTCAACATAAGTAATTAAGAACAAAATGGCAAGTGAAAGTCAGCATGGGCGAGTAATGACCTCTCAGGTAACTATTTCCAGTCAAAAGTGAAATCTTAAACTTTTGATAGATACTGTCAAGAAAACATCAGCTGAGTGATCTGAACAGTGGAAAAACAAAAGCATTAAATATTCTAGGATAGTTATAAAGAACAAAACAGTAACAGTTGCACAACTTTCTGAGCCTATGGGTCTGTGGGTTGTGTTCATCTTGAATTCTTTGTGTGCTTCAGGTCAGCTCAGCTGCATATTGTGTGGGAAGTAAGATGCATAGAGAGGAGAGTTGAAAATAGCAGGATGTTGTTTAATTTTAAAATTGATATTACAAGTGTGGAAGCTCACGCTATTTTAAAAATGTGCTTAATAATCCTTATTACTTAAGAATTAAAGAACAATAATGAGATTAGATCATCTCTAAGTAGAATAATGAATCCTGATCAGACAATATGACATAAGGGTTTTAGTTGAGTAGTGATACTGCTTTTAAGTGTGGAACTGATTGTTCAGCAATGTCAATAGCTTTGTTCTTGGCTGGTATTGTCTGATTTTAACTGTCTGATTAATTATCTGACAGTATTAACTGTCTGATTTTAATGGGATGGATCGTACAACGCTTACTCCTGTCAAAACTTCTGCAGTTCTTACAGAGAACAGAATCTGAAGGGGTCATAGCTCAGATAAGAATGTTGGTTGAAGTTCCTTTTAGGTAACTAAAATCTGTTGATTTACATTCTGAAGTAAAATTCTTAAGCAGGTTATTAAATATAAGTGATGTTTTTTTGTGATGTCCAACTCTAAAACTAACAGAGCCTTCCTGCCAAAGCAGTAGAACTTTTTTAATGTTACTTGATGGAAGGAGAATTTTCCATCTTGTAACACTTCTGAACCACACTGGGTAAAAACAGATGAAAACTGAGAATTGCAGTCATATTTGAATTCAGGTTTTGGTGAATGAGAGGATTGTCATTCACTAGCACAATTTTACTACTATGAAATAATTTTTATTACTGAATTTGTGTTTCCTCCACAGGTCTCTTGATACAATATTGAACAGTGCAGTTCAAGGCTTGTCTGTCCTTGAGTCTCATCTGGTGGAACTGGAAGGAGACACTCTTTACTTGTATGGTTCTGGAGCGCTGGAGTGCTTGGATCGGAACTGGAGTGTTCAAACAGCTGGAACTGTTGTCACAGTCTCCTTTGTGTTCATAGAATATGATGAAATTGTGCAAGTGTTAACAAAACTGAAGATAAAATTTCCTAATTCTGTGGTAAGAATGTCTCAAAATGTGAGCAGCTTGAGAATATTTATTCTGTAATGGAAGTTTAGTTTGGCAGTCACTGTTAATTGTTTTATGTAAATAGATATATTTTTGAATTGTGTTGGTTTCATCCTTTAATGTTTGTTTCATTTTGGCAATTCTGAAAAAACAGGATTTTAATTCAATTCAGATTCTTTAACAGGATGGTCATTTTCTTCTCATTCTAGTAGTTATTTCCCATAGTTCGCTTGACCTGCCTAATTGTCTTTAAGTTGCAGAACTGTGGAAACACAGTATTGTTATTCTACAGTATTACAGATCGATTGTATCAGGAGTCCTTCATTTGTATTGTGAGCTCTAAGGCCATCTATCTGGTAGGATAGAAAAGAGAGGTAAAATTCAAAGGGAGTAGCTGGTTTAATCATTGCAGCTCTTGCAATTCTTCAGTTCCTATTGAAGCAAAACAACATAATGAGAAATCAGTTCAGTACTTTCTTGGACCCATAATTCCACAGTTCTTAAGCAAGTAATAAAGTAATGATGACATACTTAAATGAACTTGTCACTCAGATTATATGCTTACTTAGCTTGCTGCTGCTTTCTACAGTTGTAGATATAATACTATTTAATGGTTCCATTGAGCAATGAATTTGTGGGGAAATTAATTGTTTCAATGAGATAAACTTGTTGAGCATGGCAAGATCTCAGCAATCTTAACCATCCGTTTTTCCCCCTCTGCCTTTCTGTAGTGCAGCTGTGTAGCTGCATTTACTGCACTCATGGGAACATTAGTGTAAGACAGAATTAGAAACAGCTTACTTGAGTGCTAGTCTGGTACAATAATGTTTAAAAACATTGTACTGATTTTTATGTGTGAATCTTGCCTTTGTTGGCAGAATTGAAATAGACCTTCCTCAAGCAGTTTCACAGTCCTTTTGTGATATGAAAATGAGAATGCTATTACTAAGGGGTTTATAATTTATTTAGGAACTTATATATGTAATGTGGACATCTTTAGAATATATACACAATTAATTTGTACATTGATGTTTTTCTCCCTAAAGTCTATAAATAAAGTGAGCAGTTTATTGTTACTGTTTTCATTTTTAAGCACCTGAAGTTCAAGGAGACGAATCTTGTGACGCTGCAGCAGTTCAATGCATTAGCCCAGCTGCATCGCATCGAACAGTTAACAGTTGATCCGCAGGGAAATCCAGTTGTTAACTTTACTCTGTGGAAATACTATGTTCTCTTTAGATTGAACCATTTTAATCTACAGAAGATAAATGGAATTGAGGTAAGGTGTTGTCGCTTCTTTCTTACGAGTAGTCTTACTTGATAAATTAGCAGATGTTTGGAATTGCAAATGGTAGGTAGTCCTGCACCTGAGAGGTAGGAAAATACCTGAAGGGAAGCCTTTTTGTTATAATTCTGGAATATGTTTTTAAAAAGGTAGAGGTCTGTTACTCTTGATTCTGGCCGTGGCTCTGGTATGTTCAAAAGCATCAAAATTCTTAGTGCTGGATATTTGTGCGGAAGTGTGCATTTGACAGACTGCCTCGCAGCTTACCGTATACGATATATTCCAGTGTTAGATAATATAACTCAAATTGACTTTCCTTCAAGTGTATTAAGTGGACAATATTGGTGGTAGGTGGGTGTTTGGACTAGATCATCTTAGAGGTCTTTCCCAACCTTAACAATTCTGTGATTGAACAGTCTGTCAAACAGACTATTTTATTAATGTTTGCCATGTACAATATCATTATTGTTTAAGAAGCAAATTCTTTTCTTTTAGATATGTTATTTAAAATTTCCCAGTGATAGGAATCTTGGATTAATTAAAATAGCTGTCAAGGTTTGAAGTTATTAAACTTGACAAAATGCTCTATGCCAACTGGTATGGCATACAGGATAACAAATGCACTACAGTTATTGAGTTGGTGCCTGTTTTCCTAACGTACTGCACTTGGCAAGAAGGCTGTGTAATGGACTTGCATTGATGTGGTATTACTGTTATAATCCTTTTGTGATTAATGGAGCAAAGAATGTATTGGCATAAGATGGAGAACATGAGTTTCTATGAGCTATAGTGTGTATTTAGCGCTGGTGTCTCTGTTGACCTTGTCCTTATGCTTCTCTTAACATAAATAAATTAATTAAAATCCCTTCTTTCTCCGGCAGATCTTTACTGGCTACAGTGCCCTTTGTTTCCTTCGCTGCCTTCTGTACGCTTTGTTTCAGACCTTGCTTCTGTTAATAGACTGTTTAGTGAGGTCCTTTACTTTTAGACCACTAAAGATTTATTTCATTTTAAATGAAAGTGAACAAAAAGTAAACATCATGAAAACAGTGTTTAATTCAATTAAGAAATGTAACTAGAAATTATGTTTCTAATTTCCTGTATTGTTTTTCTGTGGGGAGTTTCTCCCTGCATTATGCTGTCACAGTATATGCCACGCAAGGACATGTTGTATAGTCTATAAATGTTAAATAGAAATATGAATTTTGACTGAAATTTCATTTCATTCACACACTTGCACAATACAGAAGAAAAAAGTTATGTGAAAGTATCTGATAAATACTGTAAGTAAGTAACCGTAGTTTATTTAAAAATGGGTTGCTTGCCAGAAATGTGTAAATCTTGACAGAAATTAAATTTGATCCAGAAGTTAAGAAGTTGCTGGCTGAGTTTCATTGTACTGCGTTGTGCAGGTAAGATTTAAATGGTCATAAAGATTCCTTCCTTGGAAAACCAAGGGTCTAGAAGCTGTGCCAACAAACTTTTGGCAGTTCAGATCAGTTCATAGTTTGGTCCTCTGGCAATGATGGTCTCCGTTTCTTTTGCCCTAAACTTACTAGTTAAGACAAACAAAAATAACAAAAATCAACCAAACAATGGAAATATTCTACCTGCCTTATAGTAAACTGAAGTGTAAGAATCATCACGAAAAGTTTTTAACCATTGGAAGTAAGTTAGGAATATCTTAGTTGAATTAATTGTGACAGTGTAGATTACATGTGCGGAAATACATAATGAGCAAACTGTATACTCTTGGCTTCAGAAATGCAGCCACTTCTCTTAATTTATGTGCATATGTGTACGTGTGTGTGTATGTATGTATATGTATGTATTATATAAATATGTATGTATGAGAAAACTTTTATATGATTCTACCAAAATCAGAGAGACTTTAACTTATCTTTTAACATGTGGATGACATTGTCTTCTGGTTCCTTTGGTGTAACTCGATCCAGTATTTCCAGCAGACCTTCTTTAAGCATGTGTAGTGTGGAACAGAATTAATGTCTGACATTCACATACTTAATAAATCATTATAAAATTCCTCATTTCAAGAGCATAGAGTACTATATGCATACATCAAACTTCCCAGAATTATAGGAAATAAAACAAGCACAAGTATCTAATTTGGTCTCTTTTAAGGTATATTAAAAGTGCTATTGAAATCAAATCTACATTTTGAAGGTATGCCTGGAGCGGATCTGCAGTGTTTTGCGTAATAAATGTCAGTTAGTCCATTCCATCCATGTATGGAATGAATTATGAATGTGCCAGTTTTGAAACTTCTCTCTCACTTTTTGTTTTTCCTCACAGGTTACTCAAGATGATGTTGTAATGGCAGAAAGGCTCTTTGGCATTCTGGCATATGTAGCATCTTCTGAGCTGCCCCGTTATCGCTTGCTTTCGTCATTTGGAGAATCTAGGTAAATTTGTTGTTAAGATTCAAGAAGGAGTGCAGAGGCTGTGTTGTTCTTTAAATAATACAGTCACTGTCTGAAATTGCAACACTTGTTTCTGAGCGAATGAAGTTTTCTCGTTTAGCTTGTTTTGTTTCTCTGTTACTATTATGGAACATCCTTGAGTTCCTGTTTTGTAAAAGATACATATTGGTACTGTTAGTGAACCTTGAATAACTGCGTACGTTAGAACATGAATCCCTTAAAACTGAAATGAGATTTGTCTGAATGGAATGTACTGTCACTTTAATGGTATATCATTGTGGCAGTTAGAACAATGAAATTACCATATTGCATTGACGCTTCAGAGAAACTGTACATAGAAAAAAAATACGATGAACTGAAGTGGAATTTGCCTGGAATGTATTGTTTTAATTTTCCACGATGTCATTCATGATAAATTCTTTCTAGGTAAAGAGATAAAAATGTCACAAGTAACATCTTACGGAAGATAGGTTCTTTGCATACTGCAGTATTACACTTCCTGATTGATGAAGACAGATGTTTTCACAGAGGCTGTATGAGGTCTGCTGAGTAAGATGAGAGGCACATGAACACAAATGCCCTGCTTGTTTAATTCTCCAATTGTGCTGGTATTGGTGAGGATTTGTGTGCTTTCACAGTGCAGATGCAGACTTTTTTTGTGGCTATTTCGTAATAGAAGACTGTAACAATTCACATATTTAAGAGTTGGTGCTGTAAGAAAAAAGTTGTTGAAAAAGACTAAAAATATTTAGTCTTAGTCTTCTACAGATGGTTACTTTTAAATTTAAGTTGCAGGGCTTCCCATTTAGGTGATGAAACATCAAAATGTCAGTTATATAGGAGTAAAGTAACTGCAAACTATTTAGAATCATCTGTGTATTGTGAGTAACTTGAGGATGTAATAAAATTAAAGGCTCACAATGACATGTTCAAAGGGAGTAGAGGAAAAAAATCTCACGATCATTAGGAACATGCACTTAAAGAAAATAATAAAATCAATCAAAACTGTAAATCTCCATTTTTTTCTGAAGGATGAAGCAATTTAGTTACCTTCTGGAAGGAAAGGGAAAGAAATCTGGGACTGGAAATGAGGAAAGTAGTGATAGTAGAAGAGCTGGGAGAGAAAGCTCTGCTCGAGCAACATTGAATTATGTCACAAAGGACTTTCATATGGAAAAGCTTGAAGTAAGTGTATCATTATAAAATACCTTTTTTCCTCTATTATGTAACCTTTGACTACTACCAAGTTTCTGCTGTGCTGTTGTGAGTGGTGGTTTTAAAGTATCAACTACTTACCATATTTGCGTGTTTAATCAATTTTATTTGTAGCTTTTAATCATGAAATTAATTTTAATCATGAGTTCTAATTTTAGCATTTTAATCATGAAATTACTGTTAAAGTTTTGGGTGACTTCAGTACCTATTATAGTACATATTACGAGCTATGTACTTGCCAGAGTCCATCAGGAAGACTATGAAGGGGGGTTCAGACTGGCTTATTTTTCTGGTGATAACATGCTTTGTTCTTAGTGCAGGTAGATAAATGTGTGCTTTTCAACTGTTGTACTGTAGTCATGGAAAGCTTGAAAGGAAAGGAAAGAAATGGCTGCTGCTTCATAATCCTGTAGGCTTCGCACTGCTGCTCTCAGAAGGCAAAAATAAATAAATTGTTATGCTGGTAAAAGATACTTATATGACTACTTAACTGGATTTCAGCTAAATTAGTTTATTCATGTGCTTTGAATATTACAAGTACAATAACTGTATGGCTGTACTCCAGAAAACTTAAATAGACACTAGGTTGTGTAGCTTAAAACAATCAGGAAATTCTGCCTCTTCTCCTGTTAATCACTTTTAAAACTTATTAAATTTCTGTGGTTTGGGGCTTGTTTTTATTTGTTTTGAGTTTGATTTTTTTTTTTTTTTTTTTTTTTGTTTAACCTTTTCTTCCTTGTCTTATGCAATGTGTAATGATTTCTCCCCTGCAGGAAATCAAGGAAAGAAAAACATTTTGCCAAACATATGTCAAGAATTTAGTGAGGGAAGCTGCTGACATCCATATGAAAAATGAGTCCTTGCAGAAGCTCTGGCCTCAAATGTTCATTGAACTTGTCAGAGATGCAGTGATCGAAATACGTAATAAAAATTCCTACATGAAACTCAGCTTACAGCGGATCACTGATCAAAAACAGTAGAATCAAGACCTGTTTTCTTGCAAGCTTTTGGTTTCTGGTTTGGATAACGATTCACAAACTTAAAACAACAGAATGTAAAATTACCATCACAATGAAACACATCCTTACTACTCCCTTGCTCTCCCCAAACAAAGTTTACCTTTAAATCTTAATTATCTCTGTTTTCATAGCTTTCTTGATAGTGTCCAATCACAGATTTACTTGCATAAAGCATTAACAGTGATTCCTTGGCTAAAGTGAAGAGATGGCATAGGAGTAACTTGGTGATTATGCCATGTTTCACTACGCTCTTGTTCATTTTTTTTCTGCTATCCTTGCTTTGGTAGTGCTATGGCATTGATGTTAAGGAACAAGTTTACAAACTGCTTATTTATTTATTTATTTTTGTTAAATGCTTTTCGATTGTCGACTTTTTGACTATTTCCTGCTGTCTTAAAAAATAAAATAGGAATATTAGCAATTTTTTTAATAATCAAAAGCTAGTAAATTGTTGCTTGTACACTCTAAGGTTGATGAATGGTTTATATTGTTTGATTTGTCAGGTTATATGACATATTTTCAGATCAAGTCCATGACAGTTCTTGACATATTTAATTAACCTAATTCTTAACTGAACAAGTGGCCCAAACTGGACTTCAAGTTATTTTTTCATTAATTTATGTTAGTTTGTGTGAATTATTATAGGTAAAATATGAAAATGGGGGATATTGTATTTAAGCTTCATTTTTATTTTTATAATTTATTGACAATAACAAATTATTACTTTCTGAGCTTTGTTGAATAAGGTCAGATGAACTGAAAAGCATGCATTAAATTTGATAAGGAAACTGATGAGTGCTGTTCAGTTATAATCGCTGACAACTGTTCTATGTCTGTGTCTGTGTGAAAATTTCAGACTTTTATCAGTAAAAATAAATTACTCACTTTTACCTTTCACAGATAATTGGAAGAAGCACTGTATGCAAAGAAAAGGCTTGTCCTTAATGCTGCGTGAAGAGATGGGATGCATCTTGCCCTTGCAATCTAAAACGTTCCATAGTCCACTGTAAATATCTCATTATCTTCTGCCCAGAAATTGAATTTAGGAAATGCTAGCAAGTTCAACTGATTCCTATAGTCAGTGTTTATACGTGGCTAGAAAGTTGTGCCATTTGAACTTAAGTTTGGTATTCTGTGTATCTTAGTAAGAGAATCCAAATTCTTGATTTTTTTTTTTTTTTTTTTTTTTTTTTTTTACTCAGTTCAAATTGGTGTAATTTTATGTAAGCTCATTTATAAGAAAAAAAAAAAAAATCATAAACCAAAGCAAACTTCTTGGAATGGTTTATATGGCTCAGAACTACGTTGTTTTTCCTGCTTTATGAACAAGACTTCCTGGCAGAGCAGAGGTAAGTTTCTGTATCCTGAAAAAGGCTTTGAGTCAGTCGCAGGAGTAAGGTCAAAGCTTCCTTGGGACATAGTATATTTGCATTCAGATCACACTGGTTTATCTCAGTTATTATTATCATTTCCAGAGCGTGTTACAGACTAATGGTGGCATGCGTATCGCTGAATGTAGCTTCCAAGTATATTTGGTTTGACTTATATGGTATATGGGATCTTCAAAACCATACTTGCAGATAATTACCTTTTAGTATCTACAAAATCAAATGGAGGTTAAATCACTTTAAATTTCATGAAATCTTAAGAGTCCTAAAAAAAAACCTGCTTCAGTAGTCATCAGATTTTAATAGAATTAATCACCCCTTCAGGCTTTCTGAAAAGTTTAATGGAATTTAAAATAAGGTGAATGTATTTGATAGGATTTCTTTCTTCTTTCCATTGGAAAACCACTCTCAAGTTTTATGGTGCCTTTTTATTAAGGGAACACAAAGCCCATATGAAAAAGGGGCGGGGTGGAGGTGGGGAGAAGAATTTGCTGCATAGATATGCCATCAGTATAGAAAGAGACTTGGAAAAGTTTTTTGGATGTCAGTTACTTTACGTCATTTCTGTGCAAGGAGGGGTGAGTGGAGCAATTCCAGCTTCTGCATGGGGACAAAAAGCTCAGCAGCTGTGTGAAAGTGCAAAACTCTCTTGATGATAAAGCCAGAGCAGATGGGCCCCTTTTGAATCACATTCAGCAGTAATAAAACATTGGAAAAAAATGCTTTAAGAAGGGTGGTTAGGTCTAGAAGAACAGGAAGTTCTCCATGGGAAAATCCAGAGAAAAGCCAGACTTTGTGATGCTATGGCTTTAGAGGTGTAACCCTAATTGGAGGCTTTAAGGTACGATCTTGAAAAAAAACGAATGACATAAAATAGAGGGTATTGACTGCGAATTGTATGAACTTCTCCTTAGAATACTCTTTATCCCCAGTAGTCTGTGAATGCTGCCAGTTTTAGTGTTTTTTCTCTAGTAGCAGCTGTTTGTGACAGGATTGTTAGGTCACTGAAGTGAAGGTAGGCAGCTATTATAAATGAAGTAAAGATTAACATTGAGTTGTGGAGTATCTTACGTGAAACCAGTAGGAACAAAAATCATTATATTTTTCGTAACTCTCTCAAAACAAATGAATGAGGGACTGAAGTGATGTTAGATCTTAATACTTCGGGTTCTGAACTGCCAGGTGATTTTAAAATTGTTAGCATGTTAGGTATAGCTTATGTATGCATCAGATTTGTTTATAGCAATTCATGCAAACTACTGTGACCCATTACTGTAGTTTTTTATTAATGACTTTCTGAATACCTACAAATATGAAGGTGGTATAAGCTACAGATTCTGAAATTAAATGCTACATACATAAACTTTCCATATGTTCATGTACACACGTATACATATATATAACATGTATAAATCTAGGAGTTAAAATAGCCGTTGACTTTCAAGCTGATGACCTTTTAGTAAAGCCTTCCAGGATGAAAAGAGTTGTTCTCTTGCTTCAAAAGCCTCTAAATGTTGCATAAAACCATATTTTGATAACCTTTAGTATTTCATGGATAACCCATTTAAAATGGACCCTTGTGATCCTCTCATGTAGTCTGACTTTGCGCACAAGACAGGAGGTGTAATTGTATAATGTATATCAATATATATATATCAACTAGAAATCATTTTAAAGATAAAAATATTTCAGTCAGAAGAGTATCTTTTTAAACTTCCATTGATTTCAGGATGATTAATACATTGTTCTTGTTTTCTGAGAAAAGTGTCCTCTGTTTCCAGCTATGGGTGGATAATTATGTATTTTATTTTGATTCACTTTTGGTTTAGCTGTGTTATGCATGAAAGCCCCATTATGTAATGCAATCAGTGTTTATTCTGCAACTGAAATTTGGTCCTCAGTAAGGAGACTGATCAAGAGCTGTGTTTCATTCACTTCATTTGATATAGGATCAGAGAAAATAATATAGCTGCAGATAAGCCACCGAAGTGGAACAAAGAGAGGTGTGATTCACTTGGTGCAAACCAAAAGCTGATGCTGTCAGTTCTGAGGAAGAGAAGGTACTGGGAAGAGTTCTGTCAGAGCTCAGTAAAGTAAAACCAATTTACTGACTGGGGCCAAGTGTTCATTTTGAAAGCTGTTTTATATCTCTGATCAACACTGCCTAGAAAAGCAGAGTATCTTGTCTGCTACTACAGATGGTTGTACTTATATGATAGAAGTTACTTAATAATAAAGATTAACCTATTAAAACAGATCATCTGCAAATTTAAGCAGTTGTACAAACATTCTGCAGGTTTAAGACTTCTTTCTTTGTCAAAGCTGTCAGCTGTAAAAGTAACAAACATTTGTGCTTCTTACTGCTATTTTTTTATCATAGTGATGTAACACAGCTGCTTTTTGTTAGGTAGTTTAATTAAAGAAGCTGAAGCAAATGCCTGCTGTTTCATATTATTAAGCAAAATGCACAATATATAATTTAGATTGAGAAGTCAGTACTCACATTGAAAATCACAGTAAAACCACTTTGTTTAAATTTGGAACAGCCTGCTTGAACATTTCTGTGCTCATATCACACAAACTTCATCTGGAAGTCCAACATCAGTGCAATTATTTTCTCTTTGGTTTAAATTGGAGCCACTGGTCTTTTAGGGAATTATGAAACTTTAATGCTTTGTTACTCACATGTAGAAGGAGGGGGAAAAGATGAGAAGAGCTATCACTTTGCTCTGTAGTGTGATAAAGTTGCTTTCTCTCGCAAGTGAATGTAAACTGACTTTTTGTGTAGAGAGGATAGGTTACACGCACACCTCAGACACTTTTACAAAAGGCTCGTTAGTATTTTCTTACGTGTAACTACAGACATCGCTTCAGAGCTGGATCTTCTTGTACATGAGCTAAAAGAAACTGGGGGACTACTTATATAACCTAAGGATCCAGTTTTGTTGGCTGGCTTTGCTTCTGTTATCAGGAAGAAAGATAAGCTTATCTGGAGGAACTCTTTTCTTTGTCTACTGTGATTTAAAAAACAAAAAACTTCCTCTGTAGGCTCTGTACTGTACTTCATATACTGTGCTTGCGTATCAACGGCTGAATGGGTGCCTCTGCTGGTCTAAAATGTCAGGGAGACCTGGTGAAGAACTGAGAAATCTTAATGGGAGGAAAAACTTTCTCAAAGTCTATATCTCTATGTTTATTTCAGTTATGGATGGGTGGATGCATTGCAAATGGAAACATCGTTTACAAAAGTACACTGAGCACAGAACAGCAGAAAACTGCAGGTTATGGTTTGTAAATCAAATCCAGCGTTGGAGATATCCACAACCCCAATAAATGTGTCTGTGCAAGGCAGCCCTGTATTGTTAAGTACTGGCTGTGTTGATTTGATGAAACTTTTACTTGTAAATATTTATTCCAATGCTTTGGAAAACACAAATTGATAGCTTAATGATTGCTTGTTGGTTGTAATGGTATAAAATAATATGGTAAAAGCAAAATCAGGTTAATTGAAGGCAAAATCTGTTAATTAAAGGCCTAATACCACTTGTATCTGTTGCCTTCCTAGTTAGGTGAGTGCTTCCATGCTAAAAAGGAAAATCTTGCGTGGGATCATTATTATATAGTGCATGCATGCTCTGTCCATCCCTTATGTGATTATAGGTGTTTTATAGGCATCTAGTTTAATGCTGCCTCCATAAATGTTACTTTCTAGTTTGAGACAAGCTGTTCCTTACACTCTAATATGTGCACCCCAAAATTAGTGCAGCAAGCAGTACTTTGCTTTACAGGTCAGGAACTTTACGTGAACATGGAACAGGCCATAGACATATTCATTCTTTCTGGAACACTGCACGGATGACATAAACAGCAGTAACCTTTTCAAAGGATTGAGTATGGTAACTTTAAAGAATCAAGGTAACAAAAAGACTTCTGCTTTTATGTTGAGCATTTAACACAAGCACAGGGGGAGGTAGTCTGTAATCATGTCTTGTTTCCATGTGTTCATAGTATACCATTAGCGAAGAGATTGTGAAGTTAATTCACATTACAATTGTAGAGCAATTGGAGCTATGACTGTGATGTTTGTATTACATGTGTGCATAATCTAGGCACTTTGCTGGGCTTTGCACGATACTGAGGCACTTCACTGTCAGTGAAGGAAATCATTGCTACAAGTAGAGAAACCATTACTTTCTAGTAATAGTAATAATGATAATGAAAAAAACCTTTTATATATCTTATACTTAGAAATTAAACTGTGAAGCAGTGCATGCTGTGATTTGTGTTGCATTTTGGCACATGGCATATAGGCAGCCTGCTCACATTAGGCTCCAGTGAGCTATGCTCTCTAATGAAGTAAAGAAATGATTCTGAAAAGTGATGGGGAAAAAAAAACAAGGAGCACAGTTCCTGTATCTGTACTGGCAATTTGATATATTAGATTTCATACAACTTACATCCTGAGTCAAGTGTGTTAAAGCTGTTGTTTGATTCTGAAGTTTTCGTGTAAGGCTACAAATGTTTTGCCCTCTAGCAAAATGTCACTTAATTCTTAACACTTCTCTGGAATCTATAAAGTAATTAGGTGTTTTTGTAATCTGGAAAATGCAAACTGGCTTGTCAGCTTAAGAGAAGAGAACTGGGGAAATACTAAAGAGAAAATTATGGTGAGTGCTATTGGATTAGAGAGTGAAAAGTGTAAAGAAGACCTGGTAATCTATGTGTTCTTTTGAAGAATGCAGGAGTGCATCTAACATGGAATATATAAACCTGTAGCAAAAGACCTGAGCATGAAGATCTCTCTCTGATGTTGTGGTAGTCACTAAAAAACAAACAAAAAACCTAATTTTTTTTGACAGTGCCATTGTTGTGGTTTAACCCCAAAAAGCAGCTCAGCCCCACACAGCTGTTCACTCACTGTCCCCAGGTGGGAGCAGATGGAATCAGATTATCATTTGCAGGAAGAACTGGTATTTTCTGAGTGGTTGAAAATACATTTGTTGTATATTCTCCAGGCTGCTACTCACAGCATTTTAAATTTTAAATTTAAAAAAAAAAAAAAAAAAAAAAAAAAAAAAGTGGTCTAAATCTGTGCATCTGTAGGGAGAGTTACATTGGTTAAAATGACTTAGGGAGGTGGTAAAGACCCTCTAGCTCTGCTGGTACCTTTTTTTTTTTTTTTTTTTTTTTTTTTTTTTTAATTGCATGTGTCTTGATCTCCTTGCTGGTTTTGGAAGAAAAAAGGAACCACAGGTGTCTTGGAAGTGGCCTAAATTTTAACAGCAACAAAAGTGAAATAAAAATGCATTAGATATCTGGTGATGAGCTGACAAAGGTGCAAAAGGCAGGCAGGTGCTGCATATCTCATCTGAAGTGTATGCTAAGTGTTGGGCTCACAGAGTGAAGCAGCCTTATGTATTTTTAGAAGTGTGAGAATTGTTGTGGGAAGCCAGATCCTTCTATATTTCTCCTCTGCTTCCCTTTGGAGGCTCTCATGTTCCCCATGCTTTAATTTCAAGCTCCAATGTATTCTGTTATTTAAGAAAAATATTGTTAGCAATGCTTGTAACTTCACTGCTTTGTCCAATAGAAGAAAGCAGGCGCAGGCAACTTTTTACTTTTCCCCATCATACAGTGGGAGTCCAATGGCCAAGAAGAAAGCCCTTGGGTAGGGGTGTCTACCAGCATGCAGTGAAAGCTCTAGCACATGTTGTTTCAGCAGGATTGCCTTTTTTTTTTCCCTGACATTGTCCTGTTGGGAAGGGAGGTGTATACTTGGCTTACAAATGCAAACTTAAATTAACTTGCACTTTCACCTGTAACAGTCACAGGTCAAGGATTGCCTGGATTTTGTACTTTCATTTTTTTCAAGGCAGTCCACTTTCTGTCTTAAAGAAGATTCATGCTTCTCTTCTTTATTGATCACTGTGTTTGTAGGATGAGAGGAATTTGCAATAAATAAAATGCTCTGAAAGTAAGTATTTCTCTGTGTGCTTGTGCACTAATTAACATGCATTTGAAATAAATACTTACAATACAGCTAAAAATCTTGTGAAGTACATTCTTGGAATATTGTTTTTAGCAGTCCAGCTGAGGATGTTTTAAAGAACTTCAGCCAGAAAAGATTTGTGTATTTAGGACCAATCTCTAACAGGAATTATTTTCTGAACTGTTCAAAAGATGGTTTGTGATATGTTTAAGGCTAGTTCTTTCATGAAGTGATCAACTGCGAAGGGTATCAAATACTGTACAGTGCAGAACTGAGCAGGTGTCTTGGGTGTAGTTTCTTTACCATAAGCCAATGAGGGTTTTGTTGGTTTTTTTGTTGTTGTTGTTGTATTTTGTTTTTTAGATTTGAGTATGTTGAAATGAATGTCGTAATACTTACAATATTTATGATTACTGAAGTTCTTGGAAAAAATTCATTTATATTCAGGTCTGCAGTAGTAGAAATTCAATCAGCGTTCCTAGTGGGTACTTGCAAAGGCCGTGGGTTCCTGCAGCTGCTTCTGGAAGGTTAGGCTCATCTTTGATCACATGTAGACAAAGGAACTATTTTATTTATTTACTTTCTTTCTGGAGAAGTCATCAGGAACAATCCAGCTCAAGAATCTGTAATTTAAATCTTTCTAGTTTCAAATTTCTGAGATTGTTTTGATAAGGGAAGAGTGCAGGAGTGGCAAAAGCGGAGGAGTACGAGTTATACAATAGGGAGGGCCTATAATAAACAGAAGTTAAGAAATCCACTTTTTAGAAGGGCTATTTGGAACAGTCAGTCAGGCAAAGCAGCTGCTGCGTTGGCCTGCAGACTTGGGGAAGGCCTATGGCACTTGAATTGAGTGAAAAGAGGTCTAGACATGAGAGAGAGTGAGTAGTGAGCTATGATTGTAGTCTGATTTCAGACCTGTACGGCTTGGCAGGTCATAGTATTTTTCAGTAGGAAATATGTGCAACTCAACCTCAACGAATGTTCATCTTTTTCTCATAACATTCTTTAACTGTTCTCTTTGGTTGTGCTCCCAGTTCATTCCAGAAGGCGGCTTTCTTCAGACTGTGTTTAAACAGGATGCCTCTGCCAAGTGTCAGGTCAGTGATTTAGCTCTCTTAGCAAGTATTTTCTACTATTTTATTTATTCTAGAAACTTCTAACCATCACTTTGTAAAATCACAAAAAATGGCTGAATCGTATGAGTTTCCATCTCAGTGCAGAAAAGGTAGGCCTGAGCACCAAACTGAAGAGCACTAGCCCTTTCTCAGATGCCCTTTCTGAGCAGCATTGCTGACCTTTACTACATACCTCTTTCCTGCTATTCTGCCAGAAGCATTGCCAGCATCATGTCTTATGAAAGTCAGTAGTAGAGCAAATTTTCATAGAAATCTGCTGCACCAGTCATTTTCATGTTTTCTAGAGGCAGTAATTATTAACTTTTTCATAGCAGTGAACAAATAAGTTTGTTGGAAAGCTTTTTCTCAGCGAAATGTGTTAGAGTGGATATATTCAAGAGAAATTCAGGCCAGATAGTTGTTTTGTTGCAGCAGCAGTTTATTCCCATGTGCTGCCCTTGCTGGGAAGGAAGTAACAATAAAGTTGAAAGATATGATACTGGGTAAAATACTGCCAGTCATAGTTCATAAGGCACTGAAAATGGGCAAGGAGTGGTGGGAGACACAAGAGGCCCTCAACAGATATCTTTCATTGGTGCTATTCCAGTGTAAGAAATATTATGTGGATAAATGTCGTGTGTGTAAAATGACTCTACTGTCTGTTTCCAGTGCTGATGCAGGAAAGGGTTCTGACCAGACACCTATCCCTGTTTACTGGGAATAAGTTTGTGGTTCTCCCTGCCAAAAATATGAGTAGAAAAAACTGGATCATCTAAAGAGTTGTGTTTATGAATTTCTCTGGGGCTGCACAGAAGCCTGTTTGCTCTTCAGTTCAACGGAGTTGGTAGAATGTGGTTCATATTAGTGTCTAGGGTCAGAATAGGACCACTGATCTTCGACTGTCTGGTCATGTTCTAAGTGTCTTCATTTTATATGGGATTTTAAGAGGGTATGTTAGCATAACCTGTACAAGAGAAAGGACAGAACTGGAAACAGTGTCCAAGATCTTAGAAGACTGCTGAATAATCTTTCAGGTAGAAATGTGTTGGAAAATCAGAGACGAGCATGCATACAGTCTTCAAACTGGCCTAAAATGTTTTTTAATTGGACAATTTGCAGAAAATGATACTATTATTCCATTATGCCTCTCCCAGATACTTAAGGGCAAAAAAGAAGTATTTTCTCTGGCAAGACTTGAGCTTCAGGCTGTAGATCAAACAGGTTGAAACATTTTTCTGACCTCTTTTTTTTCTTCTTCAAATAATCCTTTTTTTTTTTTTTTTTTTTTATTGATTCTTTTATATTCCCATCAACGTTATTCATATTATATTTCAAAGTGGTCTGGCCAACAGTCTTGATACAGAGACAAAAGTCTTGAGTACTGGTTAACCAAGCTAGTAAGAGATGCATATTTTCATCCTGAAGCATGATGTTGTCCTTGCAATATGTTATAGGTGCTTTGTCTCGGTTTTACTGGCAGTTTCCAACACTAAGTACTTAAATGCTAATTCATTGGCTTTGAGCTCTGTCAGCCCTTCTTTTCTGGAGCTGCAACTGAATCAGTGTCCAACAAGTAGCAACGTTAATCATTACTCCAGTGTACCTGCATGCAAGAGGGAATGGAATTGGGATTGCTTGCATTTACTTAAAGCTGCATCTGTCTTTGATTCTGCAAAACTGTGTCCTTAAAACTGTACTGCTGGAGAATGCAGCTGTTTTTTACATTGCTGAAAGTTGGCTGACATAGCAGTAGCATCCAGACTTTCTTGGATGCTTCATGAAACATCATGATAAAAATACAGCACTGCTAGTGCTTCTAGTTTGTTATTTGTGGAGGTGCAATTACTAAAAATAATTCTTTCTCTCGTAAGAACTTTGCAGAAACAATAGTGCAGAAAATTTATCTGTGATCTACAATTGAAAAGGGCCAAGAAGGTTCCTGTATAAATAAATATCTTCCGTGATGATCCCCTCAGTCTCAGCTTTGATATGCTTTAGAATAAGTTAGGTCTAAGCTTTTTTTTGTAGCAGGGAAAACCTCAAGAATGCGAAGTTGGATGTAGGCGATGCAGACACAAGTCTGCACAGAACTTGTAGTAATAACAATGGGA